CCCCCCTCCCACTCCCTACCCCTCCACATCCCTACCCCTCCACATCCCTACCATGGGCCCAACTGACAGATTCTTACATAGCCCTTCACTGCAACTTTCCACTGATAGGGAGCTCATTACCTGTTAAAGCTGCTGGTTTCCTCTCAAGACAGCCCTAACTCTTAGAAAGTTCTTCTGCATGTAACTGAATATAACTGAACTCCTTTTCTGTATGACTTCCATCCATGGATCCCAGTTCTGCTTCTAGGATCCACAGATCCACTGTTATCCCTAACAGCTTCATATAGATCTGAAGGTTCCATGTCTCCAGGAACATTTCTCTTCTCTTGGATAAACTACCTCAGTTATAACAATACTTAATCCACTCTCTTCTGTAGGACTCTTCTCTCATCACATTTTCTTCCCATCCTTGCTTAGTCCTCATTTTCTTAAGAATTGAGCTTCCTTCTCCCTGTGTCTACTCACTTTCCTTCCTAAATCCCAGTCTCCACCTTCCTCAACTCAGTGACCTGGTCCTTTAGCTCATCCCCAAGACATTCACTTTTTGAGACTACTGTAATTCCCTTGGTTTAGATACACCCCACCTCCCATCCATTCCCTTCCTGTGTGTCTGCCAGTTTCCTTTCTATTTCTTTTTTTTAATCTTTTGCATTTTTTTGAAGAGGTTTTTGCTATAGGGCGCGTGCCTCGCCAGACAGACAGAGACAGAGAGAAAGAAAGCGAGAAATCACCTCCCAGGGGGGATGGCCACACTGCAATCCCTTCTCTCCTCCATTCTCCTCTCAGGATCTTGGGCATGCACGCAAACGCGCCCGGTGTGAGTTTTAAGCCACTGGGTTTGGGACGTGAACCACAGTCGACTACATGGGAGTCCAATGATATAGCCATTACGCTAACTGCTGGTCCCTATCTTTTGCATTTTTAAAGTGTATTTATTTATTTTAAGAGAGAGAGCATGTACCTCCAACAGAGTCTCCATGTCATGCTCCACTCCTTACCTCAACCAGTCCCAAATCATGGGCAAGTGGGTACTTGGCATACTCAGTAAGGTCCCTAGGCACAAACCCAGAACCTTCTTATGTGGGTCAGCCTCACAGAGTATCTAGTTTTACTACTGCACCACCGTTCAGCTACTCATTCTTGTCAAGGTCACAGAATCCCAGCATGGCAATGTTCTAGACTGTACCAGTTATCTGGCTAGGTCTGAGTATTTGTTTGAAAATGACTGGTCAAAGACTTTTTCTTTTCTCTCCACTGGTGCATGGTCAGAACATCCTTTCTGAGGTAGTATACCACATACTCCTGGGATTTTGAGCCAGCTTGGGACAGTGGAAAGATACTTGAGAGAGTTGGTTAGGACACCTGGCTTCTACAATAGCTTTGCCATTAATTCACTCTGCGACCACTGTCCAGCCTTGGGTAAATTTTTTCCTCTCTCAAGCCTTAAGTTTCTCCTTCTGTGACAAGAAAAAACTGAACTCTTAAGCTTCCAAGGTCCTTTCCCACCCTGACATTATAAAAGAATGAAAAAGGAAGTAAGGCTCCCTGGGAAAATAGGTGAGCTTAGTAAAGTTGCTTAAGGGTTCACCTTGCACTCAGGAACCAGCAGTCTTATTATTCCCTCCTCCTCTGTTTTCCCAGTTCAATAGTGTCCATGAGTCAATATGCCTCAGTTTCTCTCATTGCTGCCAAATTTCATTGATGGATGTTAAGTTAAAAAAAGTTTCCTGCCAAGACTTTTATTTGACCTGAATTTGTACAGAGAAAGGAGCAGTCCCTGGGGAGGTCAACAGTCTCCTTGAGCAGTTTTCCAGAGAAAGAGGAGCACTCACCAGAAAGCCTCAGAAGCAGGAGCAGCAATGACATCTAATCACACTCCTTGACACTATCATGGCCCTTTGTTCCCCTGGAAGTTCAGAGAACTTACTGATCCCTTTCTTCATGCACACAGAGTGCCCACACAGGCCTGGCATTGGACTAAATGCCTAGAATGGGAGGAGAAATTGATTGGAGATTCCAGTTCTGCAAATGAAAACCTCCTCTGTGTCATTCTCACCCTCCATGCCAATCCTCCTACAGGCACACATAAGAGAGCTGGGTAGAGTCAAGAAACTGAACATACTACTAAAAGGGAAAGGAGGCACAGGACTCATCTCAGTTATTTCTCTGTCCCTAGATCAGAGCAGAGGTAGCTGAGGTACTCTCTCATTCTGAAAGACAACCAGGAAAACACACCTTTGTTTTCTACCTCTTTTTAAATCATTTTATGCCTATGTGGCCAGAACTTCTGATCTCTCCCTCCTTTACTCCTTATTATGAACCTATATGAACTAAGAGTTAGACCAATCTTTCTGAGGCCAGAGTAATCCCCATGATTCAGTTTAGATATAATGAGGTTTATGCCACTCTTTGTACAGAGAAGTTATGGGAATAAGGGCTAAGCATTCACTCATAGTTGACTATCCTGGGAAAAGGAAGTGAGAGGCATGAAGAGACTTGGGTTTTTAGACAGGCTGAATTCATAAGTTCAAGGACAGACAGGCAAGTGTTCTTAAAGCAGTAAATAGGTGAGGGCCATTATAAGCCAAGAATGTTAACAGGGGCATCGTGGTGCTGGAGCTCAAGGAAGCTAGGGGCATCTGAATCAGAGAGCAGGGGTTACAAAAGGGAAATTTGACCTGAGTGCCAGGATCAGACTTGGGGTCCAGTCAAAGAGGCTCAAGATTCCTCGAGCACTGGAATTTTTCAGAACTACAAGTTTGGGTGTCAGAGTCAAAGGAATGGCAAACAAGAGGCTGATTTATGTGAAACCATATGCCAGGCTCATTAAGAAATTAACCTGAGCTTGTAATCATCTCCTCATATATTTCTCTCGTCTATATCTAAGTTCACTGTAATAAAGAAGCTTCTCTATTCTAAATGGCATTCCTCCTTCAGAGGACACAGTGCAGTACAGGAAAGGCAATATCAAAGAGGAACTGGCTTGGGAGCAATCCTAAATAGTAGAGATACTTTGGATATAGAAATCCCTTGCTCCAATCTTGGCTCCTTGTCTGCTGATGGTTTTGCTGTTAGCATCGTCTTTTCTGTGCACAGTGTCATCATATTTAACTGTCCTCCGCCTGACCCCTGCCATCAGTCACCAAACCCTGCTCTCTGTCTGTGTGTCCTATGTAGCTTCTTTCCCTTTTATCTCCACCACCAGTGCCACCACCCTCACTGACTCTGGTCTCAACTGTTGGGTCAGTTAGGTGGCATCAGTTGAAATTTCCCTATATTTCAGAACTTTACAGGGGCTACTTTTCATTTTCATACTTTTTTGAAACGCTTCCTTACATCAAAATTATATATTTTCTGCTTCACTCAGTATATTTGCTCTTGGTTGATCCTTGATGAAGGAACCCCTGAGGCTGCTTTTTTCCATTCATAGAAAAGAAATGCATTAGAAAGACATGAGGACAAACATTCTAAGGAATTCTCTCATCCTTCTCCTGGGTCAGTGGTGCAAATATTTGATTAGTTGTGAACCTTACACAAATAGGAAAATAGGCTGAAAAAATGCTGTTATTTTTCCAAAGGAAAGATTCCTTTTGTGGCATAATATGATTGACAGAACAAACTACAGCAGTAGGGAAATTTTGCTTTTAACCATCCATAGTCTTCTCCCATATGGAAACAAAAAGTAGAGTTTGGACAAAAGGAAAGAAGATGATATTAATGAGACACCTATCATATGCTGAGCATGGAGAAGGCCACTTCAATATCTAACCTCCTGTAGCCCTCACAAGAACCTTTAGAAGTCGAAATGAGAACATTGAGATTCTGAAGAGTGACATGACTTATCCAAAAGTCATAGTTTGCTGACAGTGGGACAAAGATATGAACCCAGGTCATGTGAGTTCGAAGCCCACATTTTTTTCTATCACCTGAATCAGTGACCTCCTAAGTCTCATGATGTGGTGGGGCATGCCTGAGAAGGGAGATGAATTTTAAGATTCGGATCACCCCTCAAATATCAAGTATTGGCAATATTTATTATTAATCATACTAATGGAACACAGTGAGGGGGCAGAGGGTGTTTTAACAGGGTTGGGCCATACCACAATCTCCTTCCTCCAGTCCTCCAACCCATCAGATCCTGGGCATTCATACATGTGCCCAGCATATTTCAGGGAAGCATGGATGGATGGATGACCCCACAGTCTGGAAGATTGAAAAGGAGATTCCTATGCTCTGAGAGTCTACGAAACCAATATGTTAAAAACCCTCAAATGAAAACAGAGGCACCTGGAGCCAACAGGTGGAATCATGGTTAAGGGTGTTGGACTTCCACTTGCCCAACTGTGGTTCGAGTCCCAGACCTGGCGGCTTGCTTTCTCACTTTCTCTCTCTCTTGTTCTTGCTCTCACTCTCACTCTTGCTCTCGCTCTCACTCTTGCTCTCACTCTCACCCTCGCTCTGTCCCTCAATGGTCAATTTTTTAAAATAAATAAATAAACAAATAAATGTAAATGAAATAATTATTTAAAAAGAGAACAGAGATAGCTTCAAATTATTATCTCATTCACTCCAAAAAGCAGCTAAGATGAAGAGAGTGGATAGCAATCCATATTTGACAGTTAAGGTAATTGAGGCTCAAAGAAGTGAGTTTTTTGACCATGATTATATTACAAGAACTTGAAACCAGGCAATTTTTATTTTATCATTAATCAACCCATTCATTTAATTCATTCAACAAATTTTTGTGTGTATACTTACTATACACAAGTGGTATCTGTGGACATAGA